AGAGAATTATTCCAAATGGCAGTGAAGAGCAGATGTATGCATTTGGGCATTTTAGGGGCCATATAGATCACAATAACTCTCTGCGACAATAAAAATTTCAGAGAATATGCATTTTTGTTTTAAATTTTACTTGCATTTCGGACTCATTTAATAATATATCCATAGTACTGGGATATGTACACTGGTGGAGGCATGGGTGTTGGAATACTATATGACTGAAATCCAAGCATGAACAGCTTTATTATTTTTTAAACTCTGGAACATTTTATTTTATTTTATTTTATTTTTTGCTTTTTGGATCACACCCAGCAATGCTCAGGTGTTATTCCTGGCTCCACACTCAGGAAAAACTCCTGGCAGTGCTTGGGGGACCATATGTGGTGCCAGGAATTGAACTCAGGTTGGCCGTATGCAAGGCAAATGCCCTACCCACTATGCTATCACTCTGGCCCCTCTTATTTTTTATTTTTTTTATTTATTTATTTTTGGCCCACACCCAGCAATGCACAGTGGTTACTCCTGGCTCTGCACTCAGGAATTACTCCTGGTGGTGTTCAGGGGACCAAATGGGATGCTGGGCATTGAACCCAGGTTGGCCGCATGCAAGGCAAACACCCTACCCATTGAACTGTCGCTCTGGCTCTGTGAACAGCTTTGTAAAGATCTATTTCACAGTGATTCAATACAAAAGTTTTAAAAAAATAAATTAAATAGGGGCTGGAGTGATAGCACAGCGGGTAGGGTGTTTGCCTTGCACGCGGCCGACCCGAGTTCGATTCCCAGCATCCCATATGGTCCCCCGAGCACTGCCAGGAGTGATTCCTGAGTGCAGAGCCAGGAGTAACCCCTAAGCATCGTCGGGTGTGACCCAAAAAGCAAATTAATAAATAAATTAAATTAAATAAATAAATTAAATAAAAAGTCAAAAATAAAATGTCTGGGACATCTTAGACCCACTGGAAGCTTCCAGGGGTCTCTCAGCACCACAGCCTTGGCATTGGGCACTGGGCCAAGGCTCAGCACTGGGACCTGTCCATCTCTGACAGCCCTTGCAAACAAGTCTGCCCTCCCAGATAGCCAGGCACCAAACCTGAGCAAAGCTGATACCACAAAGGGGCTCAGCAGAAGGATGTGGAATCTGATATAGGAGCTCCCGCCCTGGTGGCAGTGCCCCTGCTCAGCCCCACTAAGCACAGCAGTAGTCCAACTATCCCACAGACATCTGTCTCTTGAGGCCCCAAGTGTCATCCTCTGTCTCCGGCCATCACTGTCTTGGGGGATGTCTCACAGCAGGGACGGGAGGAAGCAGGGTCAGTGCACCATGGCTTTCTTAGCTTTTTCTGTGCCCGTGTCCTGCATGGGCATCTTTCTCCAGCAGAGTCAGAAAGAAGGTGGGTGCCTGTTTGAGCTTGCCAGAGAAGTGACAGTCAAGGGGACAGAAAGCATAACTGTGGGGACCAGGGGCTGGGGAAAAGACGGTAAGATGAGGATGGGAGAGAGAGGCACTGCAACACCACAATGCAAGTGTGCTTTATAGCCTTGATGCTATGTTTCAAATGATCAAAATGGTCCATTTACAAGACTGGAGAGAGAGAGAATAGTGGGTAGAACATTTACCTTGCATGTGGTTGACCCAGGTTCACTCTCCGGCACCACCTATGGTCCCCTGAGCCCCACCAAGAGTGAACTCTGAGCACAGAGCCAGGAGTAAGCCCTGAGCACTGCTGAGTGGGAGCCCAAAACAAAAACAAATGGTCAATGTTGTGATGTTGATGTTACCGCCACTGAAAAAAATTTAACTAAAGTTTATAAAGGACCCAGGTGTCTTTAGCAGGTGAGAAATAAACTGCTATATCCCAACAATGTACATTACTCACTTCTACTATTACAAATAGTAATAGCACCGTAGCACTGTCCTTCCGTTGTTCATCAATTTGCTTGAGCGGGCACCAGTAATGTCTCCATTGTGAGACTTGTTGTTACTGTTTTAGGCATATCAAATACGCCACAGGGAGCTTGCCAGGCTCTGCCATGTGGGCAGGATACTCTCGGTAGCTTGCCAGGCTCTCCGAGAGGGGCGGAGGAATCGAACCCAGGTCGGCCTCGAGCAAAGCAAACACCCTACCCGCTATGCTATCGCCCCAGTCCACTAACAGTAATAATAATAATAATGAATATTGAACTATGAAAAACATGGAGGAGCCCTAGCTATTAGAAGGGGGCAATTGGAAAAGCCCAGAGACTACACGATTCCAACTCTAAGACATTTTTCAGAAGGCAAAACTGTGGGAAAAAGAAATAGCTGAATGGCAGCCAAGGCTTGAAGAGTGGGAATGGGGGAGGGGTGGGATGGGAGCAGAGAGGAATGTGAAAGTGGAACATGGAGGAACAGAGGGCTGTTGAATAGTGAAAATACCATGTTTGATACTAGTGAGAGCTCTCCTAGGACACAATCATTTTTACTAAACTGTCTTGTGTACCACTGTTTTCCAAATGATTTCTACTTAGCAAATAGAATCTTCTCTTGTTAAAAAACTTTTCCAGAAGGCTTAAGCTTCTCATATCCTTTAGTTAGGAAATATCACTAAACAGAGGAATTATACGTTAACAGTAAAATATTAAAAACAACTTAAATAGCCAACCACAGCAGTACAGTTAAAGGCTAAATAATATTATAGAATATAACATTATACAGTCATTAAATACAAATTTGCAAACACAGAGATAAGCTGGGCTGGAACTATAGCACAGCGGGTAGGGCATTTGCCTTGCATGCTGCCAACCCAGGTTCGAGTCCTCGGTCCCTCTCAGAGAGCCCGGCAAGCTACCGAGAGTATCCCGCCCCACGGCAGAGCCTGGCAAGATCCCCATGGTATATTTGTATGCAAAATCAGTAACAACAAGCTTCACAATGGAGACATTACTGGTGCCAGCTCGAGCAAATCGATGAACAATGCTAGTAGGACAGTGCTACAGTGCTACTATCTCTCTGGTCTCTACAGCTATTTTGTAAGTTTAAATGAAAAAAGAGACAAATAGATAATATCTCTACCACATAATCAAAATTATGTATATAGTCCAGGAAGGGGGCTGGAGCGATAGCATAGCAGGTAAGGCATTTGCCTTGCACGAGGCCCACATGACCAACCTGAGTTCGATTTCTCCGCCCCTCTCGGAGAGCCCAGCAAGCTTCTGAGAGTATCTTGCCCGCTCTGCAAAGCCTGGCAAGCTACCCATGACGTATTCGATATATGCCAAACACAGTAACAACAAGTCTCACGATGGAGACGTTATTGGGCCTGCTCGAGCAAGTATGTAGACAATAAACAGGAAAAAAGGGGAGAGTAAATAAATTAAAACAAAAATATTTTTTAAAGTATGTATGCCAAACCACTGTTGCTATAGAAAAGAATGGGGAAAATAGGACAAAATAAATGCAGGTGGTCTTTGGCTGAGAATGGATGATTTTTTTTTCCTTTTTATTTCTCTGCGTTTTCCCAAATGTTCTAGAATGGGAGTGAAAAAAATCTGGTTTTTATAGAAGCATAATCTTCTGCATCTTTTAAAATTTAGAGTAATATTAAAAGTTCTGCCTCAACAGTAGTCTTGAAAAACAATGCTGTTTCTGTAAATGTGAGGACATAAGAGAGAAGGGAGACTGAACGATTTCATTCAACCCTCCTGATGACAAATGAGGAGTCTAGGCCCAGAGAGGTCAGGTGGCAGCAGAAGACACAGTGAGCTGTGGGGTCAGATCCCAGCCCCTACAATGCCCTCTGAGGCTCTATCCATTCCTGCACTTCTCCATCTCATCCAGGCTACATAACACTACAACAGCACTACTCAAACGCATGACTCTGGAAACTTAAATTCATATCACTTAATCACGAGTCCAGGAAGCAGATCCTCAGCACTCTTTGTGCAAAAAAAAGGAAGTAGAAATTTGCATTTTTACTGTTTGCAATGCCAACAACTGCCCTTTGAGCTATGAAGAACGGTTCTCAACCTCTGGGAGTCTTAGTGTTCCTCCTGTGTAAGGTAGGGATGATAATTCAGGATGGCGGTTCACAAAAGCAGAACTGGGAGCGTGGGTGCAGTAAGCCACTAAAAAAGGGCTAATGATCTCAGTTAGGCATTTTTCATCTAACCTGGCTCCTGGCAGAGCCGGGATTCCCATCACGGACCTTGGCTCATAGTAAGCCCTCAGCCAGTATGTGCTTAATAAACAACTAGCAAGAACCAAGGGGACATCTGTCAATCTGTTCGCTTGGATTTTCCCATTATACTTAGCATACAATATTCAAAGGACCCACTTTTCTTCCTGCCAGCATTCAAATCCATGCCAGATCCCACCTTTTGCAGGGGAGGAAAATGAAGGTCACAGATAGCCGTGACTCATTAAGTCAGTCACACGGACTGGAAATTTCTAGGATCTCGATCTACCAGGCTGAAACATCCATCTTCTATTATCATCCCCCTCGCCCCCGCCACTTTCCGGCTCACTCCGCCCAGCCGATGTCTTAGGCCACGCCTTCAGGACCCCGCCCCTTCCACCATCTCTGCCTTTCCCCGAGGCCCCGCCCCTCCCATCCCCTCCCGCCTCTCCTGGAGGCTCCGCCCCTTCCATCCATCTCCCGCCTCTCCCCGAGGCCCCTCCCCTTCATCCATCCGCCCTTCTCCTGAGGCCCCGCCCCTTCCAGCATCTCTGCTTTCCCCCGAGGCCCCGCCCCTTCATTCATCTCCCGCCTCTCCCCGAGGCCCCGCCCTTTCCATCGGCTCTGCCTCTCCCGATGCCCCGCCCCTTCCCTCCATCTCCGCCGCTCCTGAGGCCCCGCCCCTTCCATCCGCTCCGCCCCTCCCGAGCCCCGCCCCTTCCGTCCATCTCCGCCTCTCCTGAGGCCCCCCTTCCATCATCTCCACCTTTCTCCGAGGCCACGCCCCTTCCATCCATCTCCGCCTCTCCCCGAGGCCCCGCCCCCTGGGACTCCGACGCCTTCTCGTCCCACCTCGCATCTCCGCCCCGCCCCGGGCCTCCGCCGCTGGCCCCGCCCCCGCCGCCGCCGCTCCAGTCCTCGGTGCGTGAGTGCGTGTGTGCGCGCGGAGTCCGGGGCTCGCTCAACGCTGTGCGGGCGTCGGTGCGAGTGCGGCCCGAGGCCTGGCCTGTGCAGCCGCGCCTCCGCCTCCGCTTGAGGTAAGACGGCCTCGGGAGCGGGCTGGCCCGAGGCCGCGGTCGCCCAGGCCTCTTGAGAGGGTCGAAGGTGCGGGAGCCGCGCGGGCCGGGAGCTGTCCGCGCATCTGTTTGCGCCGCGGCGCTCGCAAGGGAAGTGGGAGGCCAGCGCTAACCGTTAGGGAGCCGGGCGGCGCCGGACATCCCTGGGGACGGGCGGGGGGGTGGGGTGGGGGAGCCGCTTTGAGTCTCCTGCGCATTTCCCGGAGCCAGGCTTGGGGAGCAGGCGGGGTCGGAGGCAGAAGGGGGACCCGAGCGTGGGAGCGCGCGGTCGCGGAGGCCGGCGGCGGGAAGAAGATGCTTGCATCCCTCCCCGGCGCCCCCCCCCCCGGGAGGACCACCTGCACCGGCAGCCCTTGCCCGCGCTCGACCCCGCCCTTGTCTCTCCGAGGCAGGAAGCGGGAGCCGGCACTCGAGAAGATGGAAGGGGAGAAGCGAGCGGCGCCGGCCTCCGGGCTGTTTGCCGACGGGCACCTGGTGCTGTGGACGCTGTGCTCGGTGCTGCTGCCGGTGTTCATCACGTTCTGGTGCAGCCTGCAGCGCTCGCGCCGGCAGCTGCACCGCAGGGACATCTTCCGCCGGAGCCAGCACGGCTGGCGCGACACGGATCTGTTCAGCCAGCCCACCTACTGCTGCGTGTGCGCGCAGCACATCCTGCAGGGCGCCTTCTGCGACTGCTGCGGCCTGCGCGTGGACGAGGGCTGCCTCAAGAAGGCCGAGCAGCGCTTCCAGTGCAAGGAGATCATGCTCAAGAGCGACGGCGGCGGCTCCCGGGAGCCCATGGCCCACCACTGGATCCGGGGCAACGTGCCCCTGTGCAGCTCCTGCGTGGTGTGCAGGCAGCAGTGCGGCAGTCAGCCCAAGCTCTGTGATTACAGGTACAGCCCGCGTGGGGATCGAGGGACTCACAGTCCGCCGCGGTGGGGTTGGGTGGGGGCGTGTTGACCTTTAAGAGCAGGTGGGGCTGCTTTTATCCTGCCTGTGGCCTAGACCACTTCAGGGCTCATAAACATCCCTGCGCCCCGTGCTCAGCGAGGAGGAGCCGCCGGAGTCTCTGTATGAGTCATCTTCCGCGGAGATGCAGCTAAGCCTCTTCTCACCCCACCTGCCCTATGGGGGAATAAAAGGCTGCTCTTAACACTCTAATCCCGAAGCCTCCAAATCCACTCTATGTGTCTTTTGTTTTTGCTTCTGTTACAATTACTTCTGTTACTATTCTTCCGTTACTATTCCTCTCCTCTTCCTATAAGGAGAGATGATTTCTGTTACCATTCCTCTCCTTTTCCTATAAGGAGAGATGTTTTATTTTTGCTTCTGTTACAATTACTTCTGTTACTATTCTTCTGTTACTATTCCTTTCCACTTCCTATAAGGAGAGGTTAACTTTTCCTTGGAGAGATAGATGCTCAGCACATAGGATAAAGAACAGGTGTTACAGCCAGCCCGCACTTCAGAAGTCTTTTGTAATGAAAGGTATTGAGACTGTATTGTGAAACACTTTCGCAAAGGACGCTTAGAGGGATTTGTTTTGTTTGATGCTTTTCCGGCACCTGTAGCTCCTTAGACACATACCTTTTAAGTCACTTTTAGTAGCACACTGTTTTAAAAGACACACCCATCTCAGTCCATGGAGCATGAGACTCAAATACATAACACAATGCATGTCATCTTAAGTACAGTCTTAATGTCAGTGACGATGTCCTTTTGTCATGGTCGAGACTGGTAAAGGGGGTGTTTGTGTGTGTCATTTATTTTAATTGCTTCACAGGTGAGAGAATTTTAGTGGAAGGTAAAAATAGAGCTGGTGTCCAGCATTTCTAACCTCCAGGAAAGGGTCAGGAATGTTCACAGAGAGCTTATCTCCGCCTTAAGCCTGGACACCTTCAGAGTGAATATTTTTATTTAACAAGTAGGAAGGCCCTAAATATGTTTAAGATCTGAACTAGGAAGCTGGCACAAGATGATTGCAAGTTACTGTATTTTTTTCTTGAAATAGTATGAATGTTGTTATGTCCACATCTAGTTTTAAATAATTTTATACACACCAGATTTAGACTTAGGGATAATTTTTTTTTTAAACTACAGAATTTTGTGAATGATATTTAGATATTCACATTTCAGTGGGCTGGAGCGATAGCACAGCGGGTAGGGCGTTGGCCTTGCACGCAGCCAACATGGCCGACCCGAGTTCAATTCCTCCACCCCTCTCAGAGAGCCCGGTAAGCTACCGAGAGTATCTCGCCCGCACGGCAAAGCCTGGCAAGCTCCCCATGACGTATTCAGTATGCCAAACACAGTAACAACAAGTCTCACGATGGAGACATTACTGGGCCCGCTGGAGAAAATCGATGAACAACGGGAGGACAGTGTTTTTGTTTTTTTCACATTTCAGTAGTGTCCTTTAAGCATCCCTCCCTCCTGAGAACGAGGCTGCTTTTCTAATTCTTTAACCTTTTGGTGTTATGTTTTCTTCTTCCCTTGCTAGATTAAAATAACTTCCATAAATATTTCAACTGTGTTTGAAATGCTCCTTAAAAAAATAATCTTAAGGTCCAGAGAGATGGTACAGTTGGGAAGGGCAGCTTGCCTTGCATATTGCCAACCCAAGTTTGATCCCTGGCACCCCATTGGGACCATCCCCAGAGCCTTCCAGGGGATCCCATATGGTACCCAGAGCCCTGGGTGCAGAACCTGGAGTAAGCCCTGAGTGTGGGTGTGGCCCAAAAACATTCATCACCATCACCACCACCACCACCACAACCACCATCTTAGTGTTTCTGAAATTCCACCCAGATTATTTTTTAGAAATGTTTATCTGACAGATTCCTTGCTCTGCTTAAGACTCAGTTGCCCTCCCAGCTTATACCGTGAGTCTTTCCATGTAAACGCCATGTGCTTTGCACCTTGGGCCTTGGGAGCCAGCAGCCTTCCTAGACTCACCTGCCACCCCGCCCCCCCCCCCCGCCCCCCACCCTCCGTGGACTAGCAGTGCCGAACTGCTTGTGGTTTCTTAAACTGTCAGGCTTTTTTTTTCCCCCTAACCTCCTCCTTTTCTGGGCTTTCCTTTGTTAAGTGTCCCTCCAGGCTGACTGCAGACATCCTAAACACTCATCTTGTTTTGTCCGCAGGACTCCTGCACTTTGCTTGCTACACTGCTCTCACCTACTCCCGAGCTTTATTTCCTTTTTGGTAAATGACATTAGCGTCTCTCTAGTTCTGTGGTTGCAGGGTGAGGTCTCCAGACCAGCAGCAGCAGCACTGAGAAACTTACAAGAAGTTCTGTGAATTCTGGGGTTGCCAGAGTGAGCAAAGGAAGATGAACTGTTTGCATATGGGGGACTTATATTAAAGAATTATCTGTTGCGTATGTGAATTCAAATCCCCTCTTTCTGGCAACCCTAGCTCTACTCCAGACCCACTGAGTCAGAAATTTGAGCTCAGAAACAGCAGTCCATGCTTTTAATAAGTGTTGTGATTTTATCAGAGAACATTTATTATATTCGTGTGTCTTTTCGGAGTACAAGCTTCTGGTAATTTTGTGTTCTGCCTGTTGAACACAAAGAATGTTGAGAGGCTAGAGAACCTTTTCTTCCTTTGCTGCTTGCTCTAAACAGTTTCCGAGCAGTCTGTTCTCAGCTTGGTGTAGAAATTGTGGTAGAAATTGTCTCTCTGTAACTTAGGAAGTATCTTCTTATTCCCAGGGGGGAAGATCAGTATCTTTAAAGTGGTATGTATTCTGCAGTGTTCCCGTAACTCTGTGCATGATTACAGTCTACTTTGATCTTTATAGGAACGAGAGTGTGGAATGAAAACAAAGGTCTATTGAGAATCTTAAAACACTAGCCAGACTGTTGTTCTCTGGATTTCATTGAGCCCTGGGGAGGGTACCATCCTAGTCCGTGTCACATTCTCCTGAGGTTCTTGACTCCCCCCCCCCCAATTTTTGGATCACATCCAGTGGTGGTCAGGGGTTACTCCTGACTCTTCACTCAGGAATTACTTCTGGTGGTGCTCAGGGGACCATGTGAAATGCTGGGGATCGAACCCCAGTTGACTGCATGCAAGGCAAATGCCCTACCCGCTGTCCTGTTGCTCTTGCCCCAAGTTCTTGATTTTAACTGAATGAGGAACCCTAGTCTACAAGTTCACATTTCAGAGAGCACTATTAGCAGCTGGTGATAATTCACTCTAAAGTTCTGTGACCCAGTTAAACTGCAGAATAAGGAACAAAGGATCTTTAATTTATAGAGTACTTAGACATTACATAGTTTTTATACTCTGAGTATGTTTTATTTGGGGGCCACACCGGGTGTGGTTTTATCATGGCTCTGCTCAGGGGTCACTCCTGGTGGGTCTTAGGTCACTCTATGGTGTGCTGGGGATTGTATCTGAGATAATGGAGCATGTAAGGCCCACCCTGGTGTCCCATATGGTCTGGTCTCCAAAGCCCACTAGGAGCCTTTGCACACCAAAAACAAATGAAAAAGAAATTTTGAGCTGCTTAGGGAGCTGGAGATTGAAGATCCATAATAAAACAATTGCCATGCATGTGTGAGGCCTGGGTTTGATCCCTGGACCCCCCCCCCCGAAAATAAAGTGCTTGTCAATTTATAAGGCCTCTTCATTACATCCTTTCCCCCCCACCATATCCACATACATTGTAATTAATCAAACAGAGCTGCTGATTCTTAGTAGGTCATTAAGTCTTGGCTCTGTAAATTCACTTCTGTGTTCTGTCAGTAAATGTTTATTAATTTAATAATCGATACCAAAACTTGGGCCGGAGCGATAGCATAGTAGGTAAGGCGTTTGCCTTGCACGTGGCTGACCCGGGTTGCATTCGAGTTCAATTCCTCCACCCCTCTCGGGGAGCCCGGCAAGCTACCGAGAGTATTCTGCCCACACGGCAAAGCCTGACAAGCTACCCATGAAGTATTCGGTATTCCAAAAACAGTAACAACAAGACATTACTGGTGCCCGCTTGAGCAAATCATTGAATAACGGGAAGACAGTGCTACAGTGCTACCAAAACTTACAGAATAAAGTTGAGCACACATTTTTTACTGTAGAGATGTAGAATTGAGTGCTTTAGGCTTTGCAAACCATATGTTCCGTCATAATAATTTAATTCTGCCATCCTCTGTATTATAGAATCTGCCATAAATGGAATATCAAGAATGGGGTAGTAGGTCTGGAGGGACCCAGTCAAGCAGACAGCCAACCCAGGTTCTATCCCCGGCATTCCATATAAAAGCGCCCTACCTGCTGTATTATTGCTCCAGCCCCAAACAGGGCACTTTTTTTAATGTAGGAGTATTGCTAGTTATTCAGCCATTGATTAGGCTGATTGAAATGGGCATGAAGTCCACCTTACTTTTTTTTTCTTTTTTATAAATTTATTTATTGAATCACCGTGAGAGCAGTTACAAAGCTTTCGGGTTTAAGTCTCAGTCATACAATGATGAAACACCCATCCCTTCACCAGTGCCCATTTAAACCACCAAAAACCCCAGTATACCGCCCATCCCACATCCTCCCGCTACCTGTGGGGCAGATGATTTCCACATTACTCTCTCTCTCTACTTTGATTACACTCAATATTTCGACACCAGGCCCACCATTATTATTTGGGATTTTACCCCAACACTCAGAGCTGCCGAAAAGGCAACTGTAGACAATTTGTTTTCTATTGCTGGTTCTGAATAACATGATGTAGTAGTGACTGTGCTATTTTGGAATTCCACCCCCATTCCATGAGGCCCCGAGTGTCTTTACACTGTGGGCCCAAACCTGACTGTCTAATGGCCTCTGGAAGATGCCAGCCACCAAGTCACCAAGGGGAAGCAGGCGGAGAGACAGCACCCTTTGCCCCCTGGGGTGACGTGGCACCGGTAACCTACCGCAGGGCCGGAGGTGGTTTGTGGTTGTGTCTCCCACATACCTAACTATGGCCATTTACTTTCTTGGTAAACTTGGCCCCAAGTTGTTGGGGTCTGGCCAAAGGCACAGCAGCAATTTTGGGGTATCTAGAAATCTGAAGGCACCATCAGGCTGCTGATGCAAAACAGAGCATTTATTAAGTCACAGAGATTTTAATTTTTAGGCCTTATAAACCAACTTCAGCCAAAGCACAGATAATATGCAGAGAAACATTGTTTTAAACCAGCTTGAGGGGCTGGAGGAATAGCACAGTGGGTAGGGTGTTTGCCTTGCACGTGGTCGACCCAGGTTTGAATCCCAGCATCCCCTATGGACCCCCAAGCACCACCAGGAGTAATTCCTGAGTGCATGAGCCAGGAGTAACCCCCCTGTGCATTTCTGGGTGTGACCCAAAAAGAAAAAAACACCCAGCTTGATACAATTATGTGGGCTGATACTTATCGTATGATAAATTAAAACTGAGGCACAATGCAGTATAAAATAATAAGCTTGATACACGTACATATGTAAACAAAAACAGATAATGCTGTACATTTTTAGTATATCACTTTGGCTTCACAGCTTTGTACACCTTTCATTCAGCTATTGACATAGCACTTCATAAGCTTCTGGAAAACCGCACTTTTGAGGGAATGAATGTGAAATGATACATTAGTGTTACTTAAATTTGGGGTGGTGTAGGCACGGTAGGGGTGAGGGTCTCTAAACCCTGTAATTGTAGGCTGACTGCGTCCATCCAGGTCCTCAGGTCAGTGTGAAGGGCCAAGGATTCAGTGCCACAAGGGCCCTGCGATGCCAAGGATTGCCAGGGGCACCCAGCAACACTCTGGGATCATGCGTAGAGGGTAAAGCCAGGCACGGCTACATGCAAAGCATGCACCTAACCCCTGTACTGTCTCTCTTGCTCCTGCTTCAGTTACTTTAACCTCACAGAAACCTGAAAGAGTCTCGGGAATCCCAGGTTATGGAGACAGTGTTAAAGCGCTTTGCATGTGGCCAACCCAGGTTTGATCTCCAGAGTCCCATATGGTCCCCCACCACCAGGAATAATTCCTGAGTGCAGAGTCAGGAGTAACCTGATTATTGCTAGGTGTGACCCCAAAACAACAACAACAACAAATACAGGGGGATTGAACTTGGGCTAAGCTGCCCAGCTTTTGTCAAGTGTTTTTAACAAAAGCGCAACTATGTTTCATATGTTATGGCTTGCTAGATACAATTACATATATATTTCATTTGCCAGATTTTATGGTCAGCAAGTGTGAAGTTTACTTTTTGAAATTTTTTTGACAAAAAATGATTGGTATGCAAAGTGTTTTAAAGTTACTGTCTTTTTTTTTTTTTTAATTGTTGTCTTTCATGTTCCACCCCTCAGGTGCATTTGGTGTCAGAAAACAGTTCATGATGAGTGCATGACAAACAGCTTGAAGAATGAGAAGTGTGATTTCGGAGAATTCAAAAACCTCATCATTCCTCCAAGTTATTTAACCTCTATTAATCAGATGCGTAAAGACAAAAAAACAGATTATGCAGTGGTAATGAAAGTTTGCTTTTTCTATATAATTGATTTCAGAAAATTGGTTTTAGTCAGTGTTGCAATTAGTGATTTTTTATAACTTGACTATAAAAGGCCATCATGGCAATCATGAATAACCTTGTAACTGTGTATCTCATGGTGATTCAGTTAAACAAAATGCCATCGTGGTAAACCATAGGACCTTACCCAGGTCCTAAATAGATTAAAAAATACACACACACACACACACACACACACCCCACAGATTTGTGCTTTTGAGTATTTTCATGTCTAAAAGTAAAATTTTGAAATGATATTTTAATGGTATCTTAAACCATTGTCTATACTCCATTCGTTTGGGGAGATTTTTTTGAATTTTATTTTTGTTTTTTTATCTTGGGGCCACACCTGGTGGGGCTCAGAAACACTCCCATCTTGATGCTCAGGGGTTGAATCTGGACCTCCTCCATGCAAAGCATGCACGGCAGACCTTTGAACTATTCCCTAGTCAAGTTGGGGAGCTTTCTGAAAATACAGGCCGGGGGGGGAGGTGGGGGGGCGGGGAGGGTAACTGGGGACAGTGGTGGAGGGCAGTGGACACTGGTGAAGGGACTGTTGTTGGAACATTGTACACCTGAAACTAAGTCATGAATAACTTTTTAACTCAGGGTGAACCAGTAAAATACAAATAAAAGAAAAATACAGAGTCTTGAACCAGGGGCATAGCTTGAGTGGTAGAGCACATGCCCAGCCACGTGCAAGGCCCTGAATTCCATCCCTAGCCCCTCCATGTCCTGCCCCAGCTCCAAGCATACCCCTAAAGAAAATACACAATTTCCTGGGTCCATCTTCGCACCAGGTTTGACTTAGTAGGTCGAGCTGGTCCCAGTCATTCATGTATTTTTCGAGATCCTCAGATGATTCTGATTGAGCAGCCAAGCTTGGGATTCATGATGATTATCAGTGCAGAACACAGAAACTTCTTTCCATGTTCTGAAAGAAGCTCTCCATCTGGAACTTGACATGGAGTACCTAGAGAACGGTTTGCATTGCACCGTAGACACTCCCGCAAGCTAGGCCGAACAGTTCTATTAAAACTATCTGCAACGCTTTGTAATAGGTGGGGAGTTAATGAAAAATGGATCTAAATGGATCTCTCCATCCTTATATAGTAGGTTAAGAGTAATTGCAAAACTTCGCAGATATTTTTCCTGTTTGAATGCTCAGAAAAAGGGGCCGGAGCGATAGTACAGCGGGTGAAGTGCTTGCCTTGCTGGGTTCGATCCCCAGCATCCCATATGATCCTCTGAGCACTGCCAGGAGTAATTCCTGTGTGCAGAGCCAGAAGTAATCCCTGAGCGCTACTAAGTGTGGCCCAAAAACCGAAACAAAACATAAAAAAGGGATACTAGGCAAAAGTTGAACTTTTTCATTTTGAAATAAAAACTGTCTTTTCAAAGTTAAGGTTTTATGTCCCAGGCCCAGAATGTGGCTTGCTTATGTGAGGCCTCCAGCTCAGTCCCCAGCACCCCAAAAGGAAAAACTATTTTTCATGTAGAGATGAAAAAAATGTGTATCTTTAATGGCAACTTTGTCAGATTTCCTGCAAAGAAACAGGTGGAGTGTTTCTTGGGTGTGTGTGTGTGTGTGTGTGTGTGTGTGTGTGTGTGTGTGTCACACCCGGCAATGCTCAGGGTTTACTCCTGACTCTGCATTCTGGAATTACTCCTGGTGGTGCTTAGGGGACCATATGGGATGCTGGGATTCGAACCTGGGTCAGCCACATGCAAAGCAAATTTTCTACGTGCTGTGCTATCACTCCAGTCCCCGGGGGTTGTTTTTTTGTTTGTTCGTTTGGGGTTTTTTTTTTTTGTTTTTTTTTTTTTTGTTTTTTTTTTTGCTTTTTGGAATTACTCCTGGCGGTGCTCAGGGGACCATATGGGATGCTGGGAATCGAACTCGGGTCAGCTGCGTAGAAGGCAAACGCCCTACCTGCTTTACTATCACTCTAGCCCCGAAACAGGTATTTTAATATTTTAAATTTTAATATTAGATTTAATAATTGCATCACCTTTTTTTGGGGGGGTGGGGGGGTTGAGGTCACCCTGACAGTGCTGGGAGATACTCCCAGCTCTGTGCCCAGTGTCAGAGATCAGTTAAAGGGTCAATTGCATATAAGGCAATTAACTCAACCCCTATACTACCTCTCCAGCTCTGAACTACATATTTTAAGATGTACAAGCCCTTACATCTCTGATATGATCTGAATTATTGGGTTATCACTCAGTAAAACCACAACTTCACGAGTATGTACATGCAGAGTCCGAAGTGGAAGAGCTGGGAATGGCATCAGCACCAGGGCATTTGCCTTGCATGTGTGAGTGGGTTCGATTACCAGTTCCACCACAAAACCAAAACAGAAGGAAAGATGGAAGGAAAGTGGAAAAATGCTAAGATTAGAAAAATTTCAGGGCCAGAAGTAGTACAGTGGCAAGGCACCAGATCTTGCACATAAGTGACCATGGTTTAATCCGTGGCACCGTATATGGTCCCCTGAGCACCATCAGGAATGATCTCTGGGCAGAGAGCCAGGAGTAAGCCCTTAGCACCATTGGGTCTGACATCCCTTTTCTCCCCGCCCCTCCCATTAAAAAAAAAAAAAACTAAGAATTTCACTTGACTTTGGGCTTTATGAATAAATCTGAATTCTGGAATCTGTTTGAGCACACTATTTTTTAATAAAAATCTCACCCAACTAAAATATGCTAGAATACATCCAGAAGTGAACAGTCAGGGTAAGAGGATAAAAAGAAGCAATGTTCAACCTATGAATGAAAGAACTTGAGATTTTTGCCTAGGGACAAAAATAATAAAAGATAATGTACTTCAGGCATTTAAGAATGGTGGGTATGTAGAAGAATATATATTCCTAGTTGCTTCAGTAAGCACCATGCAAATAGTGAGTGAAATTTATTGGAAGATTTTTGACCCAGCTTATGTCAAGACTTTCAGTTGATTTAGCAATAGACTGGGCTTCTTAACACAAATGAATTCCTTCTTATATGACCCTCCAAACATAAGCTGAATGCTGTATCTAGAATAACATAAAAAGATAATTACTCATTAAGTGGAAAGGCATCTGTCAGGTCTGTTTCCATTTGCAGAATTCTTTGATATTTTATATTGTATTGATTGTACTTAGGTCATTGGTTTTCTCTCATAAAATTATAGCAGTGTTGTTAATCAAGAAATGACAAATTTAGACAGGACCAAGGCATTAGTACAATGAGTAAGGCATTTGTCTTGCACGGGGCTGTCCCAGATTCAAGCACTCTTGAACTCTCCCCGGAGTGATTCCTGAATGCAGAGCTAAGATTAACCCATGATCATTGTCAGGTTGCCGAAAAAAAATAAACAAAAAAGAAATGACAAATTTAGGGCTAGAGAAAAAGTACAGTGGATAGGGCACTTACCTTACACGTGGCCAACCTGGGTTCAATCCCCTGCATCCCTTATGGCCCCCTGAGCACTACCAGGAGTGATCCCTGAGTGGGAAGCCAGGAGGAAACCCTGAGCATCAATAAGGGTAGCCCAAAATCAAACCCAAACATTAGAAATTTAGTTTTCCTCATCACTGATAGAGTAAAACCTTTCCACTTATTTTTTTTTTTTTTTAGCTATCCTCTAAACTTGGAAAGGAATGGACACCATTAATAATCCTGGCCAACTCTCGCAGTGGAACCAACATGGGAGAAGGACTGTTGGGAGAATTTAGGATCCTCCTAAATCCAGTCCAGGTAACTAAAAAGAAAAATATTCCATTCTAGAAGTATCTACCTTTAATGCTTAGTTTTTTTATTGTCCTAACATTGTGTTGGTACTATAATCTTCTGACTATAGGAAAGAGTAATAATCAGGGACAGAGCAATGCAGCGGGGATAGTGTTTGCCTTGCACATGGCCAACCCGAGTTCAACCCCCGACATTTCATATGGTCCCCCAGGCCCTCTAGGAGTGACCCCTAAGCACAGAGCCAGGAGTAAATAAACCCTGAGCACCGCTGAGTATGACACAAAAAAACAAAAACAAAGGAAAAAGGGGAAAAAGTAATAATTCTTTTTTTTTTTTTTTTTTTTTGCTTTTTCAGCCACACCCGGCGATGCACAGGAGTTCCTCCTGGCTCATGCACTCAGGAATCACTCCTGGCAGTGCTCAGGGGACCATATGGGACGCTGAGAATCGAACCCAGGTCTGCCGCGTGCAAGGCAAAGACCCTACCCGCTGTGCTATCACTCCAGCCCCAAAAGTAATAATTCTTTTAAGCTGGGGCATGTACTTTGCTTGCTGGAGCCTTGGGTTTAATCCCCAGCATCACATGGTCCCCCAAGTACCAAGAGTGGTTCCACCAGAAAGTAAAATTAGGAAGAACTAGTTGGAGGTGTGAACTTAGCACATTCTGGTTTCCTGTGAATGGGAAAGAGGCAGTATTGTATAGTGAAGAGACCACAGGATTGAATTTGAGTGTCAGCACCTACTTAACTAGAGAATAAAAGGCAAATGACTTAAACTTTCTGTGCCTCAATTTCCTGGTCAGGATGCTGGATCATATTCACATTTTACAGATCAGGGACAGAGCAAGTCCAGGCATAGTGCCTGGCATCTTGTTAAAGAAAAATGTTCATGGGGGCCAGAGAGATGGTACAGCAGGTAGGGTGTTTGCCTGCACATAGCCAACCCGTGTTCCATCCCCAGCATCTCATATGGTCCCCCAAGCACCGCCAGGAGTAATTCCTGGGTGCAGAGCCAGGAGCAACCCCTGAGCATTGCCTTAGGTGTGACACAAAAACAAATTGCATCCTGGCTTATGTTGTTTACCTGTACCTACACTCATCTGGAGGAATAGCATTACCATAAGGAGAGAATAATGTTCAATATGTAATGCTTTCCTTTTTACTCATTTCTAGGTTTTTGATGTAACTAAGACTCCCCCTTCCAAAGCCCTGCAACTTTGTACTCTTCTTCCCTATTACTCTGCTCGAGTGCTTGTTTGTGGCGGGGACGGCACCGTGGGCTGGGTCCTGGATGCAGTTGATGAAATGAAGATTAAGGTATTTCAATCTCGAAGACCTGATTTTCTTTTACAGAGACACTTCCAGGGCAATTAATTAGACAATATGGATGGTTCTATTTTTTTTAATTATGCAGCTAGAAAACATTGAAAATTCCAAGTAACTTAAAAAAGAGATAATCAAATTTTTTATGCCATTTATTTTTATCAAAATTTCTGTAATAAACAGGGTTTCTTTTTATAATCTGAGAAGGAATGTGCTTGTTTTAAAATAACTTACAGAATTAAAGCCACCTTTAGAGTTCCTCAGTTTTGTCGTTCATTTGAAATGTTGGGAGTCATCTCATCCCATATGTTTACAGTTTATCAGTCACGGGGGGGGGGGGTTTCTCATGCATTGTCACGGATTATTACATAATGTTCTTTGCCTTCGGGATTTATTGTTTCAGCATTCAAGCCATTTAATGTCCCAACAATAAATGTTATACTCAGCCTCTAGCTGAGTATTTTTCCAAACTGCTTGCCAAATTTTTCATGAGCCCTGAAAAGAGGAACTTACCATGTACTGCAGTATATTCCTTCTCAGTTCACGCATTTTCTGGTTTAAATGAGATTCTACTGAGTGTTAAAAGCAGGTCAAGGGATGTCTGTATTGCAAACTACCGTGCACAAGAGGAGGGAGAGGGAGAGAGAAGTGCCTGCCATAGAGGCAGGTTAGGAGTGCGGTGGGAGGTGACGGGAGGAAACTGGGGACACTGGTGCTGGGAAATGTACACTGGTGGAAGGATGGGTGTCAAACACTGTATGACTAAAACCTAATCATGAACAGCTTTGTCAGGGTCCATCTCACAATGATTCAATGAATAAAAGAAATTAATTTAAAAAAGAATGAGATTCTATGACTAGACAGTTGGCATAACCTTTAACAAAACAATATACAGATGTTCTCTTTATGCTTGTTGCTTTGATCTTTTTTAAGTTTCACCAAATGTTACTTGGTGAAATGTTTCCTTACAAATTGTTTGAAGAATCTAGGGGCTGGAGTGATAGTACGGCGGGTAAGGCCTTGCACGCGGCCGACCCGGGTTTGATTCCCAGCAACCCATATAGTCCCCTGAGCACCACCGGGAGTGATTCCTGAGTGCAGAATAACCCCTGTGCATTGCAGGTGTGACCCAAAAAGGAAAAAAAGGAATCTAAGCTATGTCTTCCATATTCTAGGGACAAGAAAAATACATTCCCCAAGTTGCCGTCCTGCCTCTGGGTACGGGCAATGACCTGTCCAATACTCTGGGTTGGGGAACAGGTTACGCTGGAGAAATCCCAGTCGCACAAGTTTTAAGAAATGTGATGGAAGCAGATGGAATAAAACTAGATAGGTAAGTGATACCATCCCCCAAAAGTAGACTGTGTACATTGGGAACATTATTTGGTTTATTAATGGAGAGTTGTTATTGTCCACCTTAGATTTTGAAAATTCCTCTTACTATTTAAACATTGAGGAGGTGGCTCAGTGAGGAGCACTTGCCTTGTATATCTGAGGTCCTGGGTTTGACCCCTGGTACCACACACAGTTTTTAAAAATTTAACTTTTATAAACTTAGATTCAGAACTACCATCAGGGATGTAGTATGCTAGTAGAACACATGCATGGGTTTGTAACCCACCCGACTGCCACCGCCAAAAAATGTAAAAAACTGGGGCTGGAGCGATAGCACAGCGGGTAGGGCGTTTGCCTTGCACGTGGCCAACCCTGGTTTGGTTCCCAGCAGCTCATATGGGGGTCCCCCAAAAAACCGCCAGGAGTGATTCCTGAGTACAGAGCTAGGAGTAACCCCTGTGCATCCCCGGGTGTGACCAAAAAAAAAAAAAAAAACAGTAAAAAACTACGATATACCTACACATAGAGGCTACTGTATTACGTTGTTGCTCTGTATTCTGTTAAATAAGGGTTGAAGTCGTAAGGCTTCGTGCTGAATCTTAAACTTGGCATGTTTCCTTCTGTGTGTTTATTTTTCCAAATGCTATTTTAATTAGAGCCTCTTTTAACAGGCATCAAGGTTGATTGGTAGGTTAATTGGTATTTGACTTGATAACAATCACTGATTTTTTTTTTAAACTTCTGTGTTTTAGATGGAAAGTTCAAGTAACAAATAAAGGTTACTATAACTTAAGAAAACCCAAGGTATGTTGGGTTTTGTTGTTACCGGGGGCTGGTAGGAGGGAGGAGTGGGAGTTAGTGTGGATTTTTGTTTGTCTTGTTTTTATGGTGCCGGGAAGGCCCCTCCTACCCCCCCTACTGCCCCGCCCCGCCCCAGTGTGAGACAGACGCTGCACCTCCATCCCCTAGGGCACAGTTTTAGGGCTTCCGTTATGGTAATTTCAGCAAATACAGTGGAGTGTGTGCGCACTTGGGCCCTGATGGATCTGGCTGGAAAAGCTTCATGGGAACTGATGTGTGAGTGTGTGCTGCTGACGGGGCAAGGCTGGGTGAGGCCAGGGCAGTAGCTCAGTGGGAGAGTGCATGCACACTTCACAGGTGTGAACCACTGGGCCCCACCTCTGGACTCTCTCTCCGTCCCCTTAACCCTCCCCACCCATTTCTTCTCCCCTCCCTCCCCCTCCGCCTCACTCTATTCTAGATCAACAGAAAAAAAGGAATAAAAGGCTTTCCAAGCAGAAAGAATAGAGACAGGTCATGGAATGGATAAAAAATAATACAGAGAGAGCAGATACCTATTTTTTAAAAGCTATTTTAAGGAATTGGGGATGCAACTTAGCAGCAAAACACCTTTCATGAGACCAGAATTCTGTCCCTTGCACTGCCAAAAAACAAAGCTTTTGAGGGTTAGAGAGATGGTACAGCAGGTAAGGTTCTTGCCTTGCAGGTGTCTGACCCGGGTTTGATTCCCAGCATCCCACATTGTCCTCCAAGCCTTCGAGGAGCGATCCCTGAGTGCAGAGCCTAGAGGAACCCCCAGCATAACCAGGTGTGGCCCAAAAAAAAAAAAAAAAACTAACTAAAAAACGAAGGCTTTTTTTTTTTCAGAGGTAAAATTGATCCAGACTTAGCAACTAATAAGTAAAGAGAGGGATAAAATGTTGACACTCGATATCTAGCTGGCGAAACTGGCCAGATGGAGGTAACATTAATCAAGATAAGTAAAATAGGGCTTCGCTTTTTAGTAGGGAAGGATGAGTTAGATTTTGTTCATATTGACCCAAGTCTGTGACTCACTGGAAAAGCTGACAGTGTAGGTATATGGCTCAGGAATGAGACGGAGCTGGAGATGGAGATGGAAAAATCCAGACTGGGGAAATAGATAAATCAAGACAGGTGGGACCAGGGGTTACAAAAGCCTGATATGGCCACCAGATAAGGCCTCAAAACAAAAACAAACCCCAGAAGAAAATGTAAGGGGAGCACAGAAATAGGAAGTTTGAGCGTAAACAGGAACTCTTTTAAATAAGGCCTGAATTTGTTAAACAGAAATAGAAGGTGAAATGTATAACCAGCCTGTGAACTGAAACTTGTTTTCTGTAAACTACATTAGTAAATGCAGAAACAATTCTGTATTTTTCTTTATTTTTTTTTCCCTTTTTGGGTCACACCCAGCGATGCTCAGGGGTTACTCCTGGCTCAGCACTCAGGCATTACCCCTGGCAGTGCTTGGGGGACCATATGGGATGCCAGGAATTGAACCCAAGTCAGTCGCATGCAAGACAAATGCCCTACCTGCTGTACTATCACTCTGGCCCCAGTACTGTATTGTCATAACATCTACCAGTTATAGGCACTCTGTGACCCAGACTTAACTGAAGCCATGATTGCTTGTCCTTAACTCACTCACTCTCTCTCTCTCTCTCTCTCTCTCTCTCACAGGAATTCACCATGAACAACTATTTTTCTGTTGGACCCGATGCTCTCATGGCTCTCAATTTTCATGCTCATCGTGAGAAGGCACCATCTCTGTTTTCTAGCAGAATTCTTAATAAGGTGTGTTGGATAAAATAACATTTCCTGCTTATCACCAAAGGTACAGTAAAAATCAATAGTTCAATTATATCTAGCTCACCGTCAAGTGAATTCAGATAGGACTAACTTCGCAGAAATCTTTACTTGCACTGTTGAGTGTAGGACTGTTGATTTAGATTCTTAATGCTTTTATTCCAATACATTGTAACTCTTGAGAAATTTTTTTGTTTAGTGTAAGACTCACTGTAGACCCTTAATTCTTTTATTCCGATACATTGTAACTTGGAGAAATTTTCGTAAAATTCGAGTGTGGACTGTTCTGTGGCCTGTTTTTTGCTAAGATCATAACTAAGCAGAATATATGATCATTTATCTTAACGGCAACTAGAATTGGAAAGAAACTTTACCCAGGGATAAATTTTTGGCCAAGCCATTCATGGTAACTTTTGTTACCAACACTAGATTCATTGGCTTGAACAAAACTCCCCAAAGGGGTAGTCCTTTGTTTCTATGTCTCTTAACTAACATCATTGCTCCTGTTGCTGATACAGTTGATGTACAGTTGATGATGATGGGAGTTTGTGGGGGGGGGGTTGTAGTGGTGGTGGTGGTGTTGATGGTGATACTGTAGTTGCCATGATGGGGGTCCAATGATGGGAATCCAGTGCACGCACACGAGCAAGGCTTGTACTCTGCCACTGAGCCACGTCCCGGTCAACCCTGCCTGCCCCTACCCCCATCCCACCCCCCACTCTTTTGCTTTGTTTCCATTTTTTTTGTTGTTCTGGTTTGGGTGGAGTATGCTTATTTGTTCAGGAGCAACTCCCAGCTTGATTCGTGGGGCTTACACCCAGCATGGGGGCACCCTGTGGTACCAGCAATCAAAACTTGGGCTCTTGCATGCCAAGCAGGCTTCCCTACCGTGGGTCACACACACACACAGCTATGCTCAGGGCTCACTCATTACTCTGAACTCTGGGATCATGCCTGAAGGGCTTAGGGGACCTTGTGGTACCAGGGACCAAATCCGGGTCAGCCACATGCAAGACAAGTGCCTTCCCTGCTCTACTGTCTCCTGCCCCTGACTGATTGAGCTTTATTTTAATGATTGAGCAACAGAATGTAAAAACTAAACGGAAAATCGCTCTGTGCTGGGTTCTCTTTTACAAAGATTTGAAATATATAGTTTCTTTTAATACAGAAACTAAGGCCTTATTGATAATTGCAGTTCATATATATATGCTTAATCTCTGTTTTCATTCACCTTGTGTATTTAAAAGTGATTAAAACATTTGATAGGTGTATCTCTTACTAACATAAAATACTGGGAAAAGGTAGAATTTTTTTTAATTTTAGCAGTATTTCTTTATAGAAATGCAGCTCTTTGGATAAACTAGGAGAAGGTAGTATTTATTCATGGACCACCCCATCCCACGTTGCCCTTGGAAAGCGGATTAGTTAAATTTAGTTGTTGCCCCTTCTTTTCATCTCCATTCTAAAGAAACATAGCTCCACACTCATATCACAGAATTTTGGTTCAATGTAGTTTTCTTAATTTTTTAAATACCATGTTAAATTGCTTTAATACCATTTTTCTGTTCATTTCTCATAGGCTGTTTATTTATTCTATGGAACCAAAGACTGTTTAGTACAAGCATGTAAAGATTTAAATAAAAAAATTGAGGTAAGCTTTTAAAATTTTAGGTGCTCTCTGGATTATGATTTTTTAAACAAAAATGTTGGATTTTTCTATTAACATATTATGTTACTCTATGAAGTATTTCTTGTTTGCCAGGCATTTCACTAAGTGCTTCACAGTTATTATCCTACTAATTCTCACCACTACCCTTTAAAGTAGACAGTCCTAGTCCTATTAGACAGAAGAGAATGTTGTTTAAGTAATTTCCCCAAATTTGTCCTGTACCCAGACATACTCAGGATGTGAACCCAGGATTATCTAACTGAAGTCTGTTTGACTCTTAATGTGGGGGCCTCTACTCATACATGAGAATGAACCTGAAGTCATTCAATACAGTGAGTCTGGTACTGTATTGAAAAACTTCAGATTGATCAGAAGAAGTTTTAACCCAACATTTCATTAAGGTTATGGTGTATCTCTCTTACATACTTTGGCAGAATAAACATAAAGGAACAGTGAAATACAGTCTTGGTAAACACTTATCACTATTCCTGCAGCATCCCTGATACCATACTGTGGCCAAGTTGAATATGTTCCTTCCTTCCCGTAAGAATCTGTGATGGTTAATAGCAACAACAGAGAAATTTGTACAGGGAACTGTTGAACTAGCACAGAAGTAGCTAGACAGTAAGTACTTCCAGTAAAGACTTGACAGAAGGAGCTTGGAGCAAAGAGCCTGGTTCTCTCTTTTATTCTTTTTTTTTAAATTTTGCTTTTTGAGTAGGCTGGAGCGATAGCACAGTGGTAGGGTGTTTGCCTTGCACGCAGTCAACAAGGCCGACCCGAGTTCAATTCCTCTGCCCCTCTCGGAGAGCCTGGCAAGCTACCGAGAGTATCTCGCCCGCACGGCAGAGTCTGGCAAGCTACCCGTGATGTATTCGATATGCCAAAAACAGTAACAACAAAGTCTCCAATGGAGACGTTACTGGGCCTGCTCAAGCTTTTGGGGTCACACCCGCTGATGCACAGGGGTTACTCCTGGCTTGTGCACTCAGGAGTTACTCCTGGCAGTGCTCAGGGGACCATATGGGATGCTGGGAATCGAACCCGGGTCGATCGCATGCAAGGCAAACGCCCTGCCTGCTGTACTATCACTCCAGCCCCAGGGAGCCTGGTTCTTGGTCAAGGAAAGCTGCATTTCCTCAGTGCCAAATCCAGCTGCTCTGTGCAGACCAAGCGGAGCTGAGAATTAGACACCCAGAGCCTGCATGCAGCTATGACAGGGTAGAATGGAAGCATGATCCATTTTCAAAACAGAGCTTTTTTAGATGTCTAACCGTATTTCCTTTTTCCTGAGTTTCGCTGACACTACTAGAGGAAAGCACAGAAGATGACACTGCAGGGTGTGGGGGGGGAGGGGCGGGGGGGGCGGTGGCTAACAAAATGGGGCAGCATACCAGACCCCCAGGTCAGGCCCCCAGCACTACCTTGGTCTGATGAGTACCACCAGGTCTGACCCAAAAGAAACCATGAGAGCAGTTGATTTCATTGTCTTGATTTTTTTTTTAATTTATACTAATCTTATTTGTGAAATCTCCTATGAAATGCCAGATACTATCCTAGGTCATAAAGATAAAATGATCAATCTCTTGTTCCAAATTCATTATCTGGGAACAGGTGGGAGAAAATAGTTACCACATTGCAGTATGGCATGAGAAGGGTTATGTCAAAGAAAATATACTGTTTTATTAAAAATATAGATACTGTATAATCCAGACAGATTATAGCCTTTTGAGATATCGAGAAGAAAACAAGTTTTTCTGGTTGAAGTGACAAATAACGGGAATCTAAAACTTAAGTAACGGCCTGAAAAAATGGTACAGTGGGTAAGGTGCTTGCCTTGCATGCAGCCTGCCTAGGTTCAAGCCACCACATGGCACATGTTCCCCTGAGCTGTACCAGGAAGGATTCCTGAGCACAGTCGATATGGCCAGTAAATTAAGAATCAAAAGTGTAAAGAAGATGAAAAAGATTCTAGAACAGCATCATAGAGCAGAGACCCAGGAACAGGAGGGAACACAGCTGTATTTGTCGGAGGTAACTAGTGGTAGAGAAAGTAGCAAGAGCTGGGACTGGGGAAACGGAGGGCTCAAATCACAGCGGACTCTACCACCTGTTAAGGAAGTTGGGTTTCATCCTGGGCTCTGAGCCAAGCCGCCAGGGGTAGCAACAGATGCGCATTTCTTAAGTGTCAAATACAGCTGCTCTTGAAATGAATAGGAGGAACTGAGAACTAGCGGTCCAAGACTTAGGAAGGCAACTAGCGGGGGTGGCGGGGAGGTGTAGCTCTCTCCTGAGGAGTGTGGGTGAGGAGGTTCCAGAGAGGATGCTTGATAGACATTTTGTGGGCAGTTGGGTATACAGAGCTGGACCAGTGAGCAGAGATGGTGCAGTGTATTAACAGCATCCGGGCAGGAACCAAACTGACCCTCAAGTCTGGCAGGGCAAAAGAAAGGGGCTTAGTACCTAGCTCCAAGGAGCATCATTGCTGTGAGGCAGGAATGCAGCTTCCACCATACCAGGAGGGAACCTTCCCAGAAGCACAGTCTGAGCTCCCAAAAGCAGAGAAGAGGCAGTTCCGGTCAGAGCCAGAGGCTGTCTCTCCCAGCTGCCATGTGTGCAGCAGATGTGGCCTCTTACTTGGGTCTGTCTGGAAACAGGGTGCCCTGGAGTGACTGACTACTTGCATTTCCTTAAAGCTAGAACTGGATGGTGAGCGCGTGGACCTGCCCAGCCTGGAAGGGATCATAGTTCTGAACATCGGCTACTGGGGCGGCGGCTGCCGACTGTGGGAAGGAATGGGAGATGAGACGTACCCTCTCGCCAGGTTGGTGCCTGTTTTCAATGTGTCCTTTACATTGACCTAGTCTTTAACGCTGCCTTTTTTGTGCATAGATTGGGTAGGAGGGGACATTTTCCCCCCTCAGGCTTTCTGTCTTGTTATACTTCTTGGATAAAGGTATGTCTTGAATATGTGACTGAACCAGCCGCCTTTGTTTAAAAAAAAAAAAACATTTTTTTTAAATGGCCCCAGTAGGGTGGATTTGATTTGATGTCTGGTGCCCATATTTATTTCCTTTTCCCGACTGTAGGCACGATGATGGTTTGCTGGAAGTGGTTGGAGTCTACGGGTCTTTCCACTGTGCCCAGATTCAAGTGAAGCTGGCCAACCCTTTCCGAATAGGGCAGGCCCACACGGTGCGGGTAGGTGAGAGGCGGCCATCTCAGGCTGCATTGGCCCCGTCCGTGTCCATTTCCCCTCTGCCTTCCTTCTCCCAGCCCTTTGTTGTTGTAGTGATCAGGGGTCGGTCACGCACTTGGTATGGTGCCTTCTGAGGGCCACACACTTGGCTGCGAGACTTCCCGTGAGTCACTCGCTTCCCACGTGGGGAAGGTTGCACAGCGGGGGTGGCGACCCTGGGGAATCACACTTGGAGCGCGGTGGGTTGGAACTTCCAGGCTCCTACTTGACTGCCCGCACTGTGCCCCTGAGCCCTGAGCCTCCAGGCCCCAGCCCATTTCTGAGCAGTCAGTGCGCAGACAAAAATACTCCTGCCGTAGCTTTTAACAGCCCGTATTTCATGCCTTGGATCACCGCTACAGCAGGAACTGGAGTGGAATGGATTAAAGGACAGGAAGTGTGGCCCTCAGTCCAGTTGAAGAACTAAAGCTTTCATTGGAAGAGAGTCCTTTAAACCTGTCTTTCTCGGTGTGGCTGTTTATCACCCCCACGCCCACCCCCACTCCTCCCCAGGAGTGCTGAAGTGATCGGAGGGGAGGTGCGGGTGCAGAGGGCGTGTGCTTGGGCACTTGATTACTCTGGGGGTGAAGCATTTGCCATGTACAGAGCCAGGAGGAAGCCCTGAGCACCGCCAGGGGTATGGTTCAGAAAAAATAAGATGATGAAGGCGGATTCTGTTATTCGGGTGGGCCACGCCCAGCAGTGCTCAGGGCTTACTCCTCACTGTGCATTCAGGAATCACTCCCTCTGGGGTTTAGGTGACCGTGGAATGTCAGGTATTGAACTCTGGTGAGCATGTGCAAGAAAAGAAGGCATATTTTGACTCTGAGTAATTTTTTTTTTCTGAAAAGGGGGCTGCTGGCCAAATAGGTTTAGGAACCTCTGCTGTGAGCAGTTGATGAATAAAGATATGATCAGAATCATTTTCCTCCCAGAATGGAATGCTAAGGCGTGCCCCAAAGAAGAGTTAAGGGATTATAGGTGATACTGAAGCAGACCTTTCTGAACATTGTCAGAGCTGATGTTTTGTCATGGTTTGTTCCCTATTACCAGCTGATTCTGAAGTGTTCGATGATGCCCATGCAGGTGGATGGCGAGCCATGGGCCCAGGGGCCCTGCACTGTCACCATAACTCACAAGACACACGCCTTGATGTTGTACTTCTCCGGCGAACAGACAGATGATGACATCTCTAGTAATTCAGATCAGGAGGACTTAAAGGAAACTGAGTAAATGGATGAGGAGACAAAAACACGGTGTAGAGTTTCCTCAGACAAGTAATAATGCCTCCCCCCACCCACTTTAGGAGAACTTCTCCATCTGCTGTATAGACTTCAATTCACCAAGTAGTGTAATGGGTATACATTAATATAAGTAGCATTTAAAAACAGCCAAACTCCCAGCTGTTTATAAATGCCTGCTCTTTTTTCAAAATAATTTAATCATATAATACTTTTAAGAAGTCATGATGTGGGGCTGGAGCAATAGTACATTGAGTAGGGCATTTGCCTTGCCCGCAGCTGACCCGGGTTTGATTCCCAGTATCCCTTATGGTCCCCCGAGCGCCGTCAGGAGTAATTCTTGAGTGCAAAGCCAGGGGTAACCCCTGTGCATCACCAGGTGTGATCCAGAAAGCAAAAAAAAAAAAGAAAAAAGTCATGATGCGGGACCGGAGAGAGAGTACGGTGGGGAGGGTGCTTGCCTTGCATGCAACTGGCCAAGGTTCAATCCCCAGCACCCCAATGCTCCCATGAGCCTGCCAGGATCTAGTGCAGAGCTAGGAGTAAACCCTGAGCACAGGCAGGTGTGTCTCTCCCCCCCAAAAGAGAAGTTACGATTATACATGAAGGTGAAATGTTTTCCTTATTTTTATGTTTGCGTGAGCAAGTCACTTTGAACACTTGCTTTCTGCTTTCTTTCGTCCCTTTTCTTGAGCTACACATTTGATGGACACGTTTTACATCTTGCTGTTGCATGTTGGTGGAACATCTTTTTCATCTTCATTTTTAGTCTGGTGGCACCATAACATTTTAAAACTCAACTTGCTTTTTTAATATGTTTTCTCAAAAAAAAAATGGTGTGTGAAAACAGCATAGTTAATGCTGGGCACCCTCATGTAGCCTGTCTCTGAAGATTTTCTAAAACCTAGCACTGACCGAGCAGATACGTAAATATCTGTTTCCAGTAAACCTTAGAAAGAGAATTATAGGGGCCAGAGCTATAGTCCAGTGGGTAAGGCATTTGCTTTGCATGTGGCTGACTCAGGTTTGATCCCTGGCATCCCACGTGGTCCCCTGAGCACCACCAGGAGTAATTTCTTAATGAAGAGCGAGGAGTAAACCCTGAGCATTGCTGGGTGTGACCCCAGTAAGGAAAAAGAGAAAGAGAAATACTTATTTTTAAAAGACAGCAGTTAAGAATTTTTATCAAAGGAGCATTTTCAGGGGCCGGAGTGATGGTACTGCAGGAAAGAACGCATGCCTTGCATGCAGCTGACCCAAGTTTGATCTCCGGCATCCCATATGGTCCCCCAAGTCCCACCAGGAGTCAGTTCCTGAGTGCAGAGCCAGGAGTAACCCTTGAGCATCACTGGATATGGCCCAAAAGCCAGAATAATAGTAATAAAGACAAAGAAGCATTTTCAAATCCTGAAATGTATTTAGGTTAATTATGTTAATCATTACGTTGAGCCAAGGTTCAGCGTATCGTTTCATTACCTGGTCTAAGCAAAGGAGAACCACTGAGGTGGGTTGGTGAACATTACCAGGCAAAGCTCATCAGATTGAGAGCCACGGGGTTTTGAACTCAAACCCCTTAGTTCACCAGCATCTCTTGATTAAAAGACCATGTTAGCAATTATTTTTAAGTGTACTGAAGAAAATATAATAGATTAATTGTGTCCCTAAAATTTGAGTAGCAATAAGTTTCAGTTCAGTTGTCTAGTAGCACTTTGAAGTTCCAGATCTCAGATCTGAAGTTATCAGCAGAGTTTCAGGGGGCGGGGGACACACAGAGTCCTCTGCTAAAACCTTTGTGTCATATTTATTTTTAAATGAGAGATTTTTGTATTTATTTATTTCCTTGTGGTATATATCTGTGTTTAGTGTTTACAGTATGTGGTTTATTTAATAAACTGATCCCATAAATTCTGCTAGTCACAGAAATGTAGCCTGTTGGCTGCTGCATAATTAAAACCCATAAAGTAGTTTTCCCAACAGGTCTATTTAGTCTCATTCTTCAGAAACGTTTCTCAGTATTTTTAAAAGGTGAAATGACTTTAAAAAAAGAGTGTGGGGAAAAACCGGCTCTGGATCCATAGTTCAGCGGGTTTGGTGCTTGCCTTGCATTTGGCCTGCCCTGGCAACCCATATGGTTCCCTAAACCCCACCTGGAGTGAGCACTGAGCACAGAGCCAGGAATAATCCCTGAGCACTGCCAGGTGTGGCCAAAAAAAAAAAAAGAGGAATCAAATTGTCAGCAGCCTTGATTACTTGGAAGTTTTATTACTCACCAAAAAAAGTATTGAGGTAGTCTCAGGAGTTCCCATTAGAGGGCGCTCTTCTGCTAGCTAGCCAGTCCTCCCTCAGTCCCTGAAGTTTGACCCACTGTCCGTGGAACCTGGGGCTTTCCTAACAGGCGCCCCGCCTTGCCAGTTTGGTGGGCTTTCATGATATGAAATGCTGAAAGATGAGACTGTACCATCTGAAATATCACTAGCTCCCCTGCAGGAACTATTATGAATCTACAATGTACAAATTTCCATGAATTCTATTTTAATCACCTTCAGGCCATGTTTTGAAGAAACAGCTAGGTGTGGACAGTGGTCAGTGTATTATATGTGTACATCCCGATGGAGATTACTTTTGCTTGGCTGAAAGATTTTGTGAGCAGATCTGTTATTCGTCCACCTTTCACGGAAGGAAGCCTCTTACAGAGGTGGGCTAGTTGTCTAGATTTTCCTTTTAAAAAGCTGATCACGGGGGTTGGAGCGATAGTACAACTGGCAGGGCATTTGCCTTGCATGCAGCCCAGCAGGCAACTGAGGTTCAAACCCCAGTTTCCCATATGGTTCCCAAGCAGACTACAGGAGTAATTCCTAAGTACAGAGCCAGGAATAATCCCTGAGCATCAATCACCAGGTGTGACCAAAAAAGCCCAAAAAAATTTTTTTAAAAAAAGCTGATGATGTTTATAGTCTGATGAATTTTTGTTTAATTCATGATCAGAATTGTTTCAGATGCCATGTTTTCTGCATTGTTAAATTCACTTTGCTTCAGGTTATGTTTTTTTCTGTAATTCATAGTGCTAACTTTGGGATCAAGTAAATCATTATATTGGGGTATTAGAATTAAAATAATCAAAATAACTATGTAGTTTTGATTGTTACAGCTATAACCATGATATTACTTTGGATATAGAGCAAGTTTATATCTAAAACCTTTTGTTTTTTTAAGCAGATTGGTTTTCAATGATCATAATCCAGTCGTGCCCCTTTCCTTGCCCTTTTAGTTTTTCTGTCGTCCTAGTCACTCATTCAGATTGAATTTTTACTTAGGGAAGTGGAGAATATCTTACTTAACAGAATTCATTTGCTTTTTTAAGGCACATTTACAGAAAGTTTCAAATAAATGTGTAGACCTGTGCCTTGTTTCAAGAACAAATACAATTTACAAAAACATTTTGCAGTTGGTCATATTACCAGAGATTCTCCATTTCACACATACACAAACAAAATAATAATAATTTGCAACAAGGTTTTCCTGTACCGTTTTGAATTATCTTTTTTTCAAAAATAAGAATAAGTTCTGCATTCTCAGGAAGAAAATACAGGAAGTAAAGAATATATCTTCGTTTTCCAAGTTTCGTATTTTACTGTCCTGTACATTCCTAACTCCTTATGAACTTGATAGCTTAAATTCCTGACTACTGGCAGCTCCATAAATAGATGATGATAATTTTATTGCTCTTTCTATGTGTAACAGAAATCAGACTGACTTGTGTTTTAAAATACAGGTTGTCTAGTGAGATTACATGATATTAAATGTGTTCTTGGTTTTCTGCAACAATTAGCTGTGAACTCTTCCGATAGCTAATGTTTATAAAAATTTTATAGTCCAAAGTATTTATTTTTATTTTTTTAGGGTGTGTAAAACATGTGCAGTGTTTGCTTTCTAAAATACACTTGCCTACTTAAAGTTGTGAACTGTGCTGTGACTGAGAAATATTAGTCTTTCTTGCTCTGTAATAATGAATACTGAACCAGCATGTGAAAAAAATAATTTGCATTTGTAATTTAAAGTAATACTGTATTTATGGACATTATGAGGCTTCAGATTTGCACTATCTAGAAAACTTTAAAGGTTACATTAATTTACAGGTTTATGTCGATCCAAACACCTGGTTTGTACCTGTTCGCCTGAAAAAGTCAATGGAATGAGTAATGGTTTCTCTAAAATATATTGAAGCAAGAACCAGCACTTTATATACAGAATTTTTTAAAATTTGACCTGATTTTGAAAAATGGAATGTAGATAGATTTTTTTAAATCTAGAAATTTTAAATGGAAAAAAAAAAGGTGGGGTTACCCTAGCCCAAGACGAATGGTATTTTCTGCAGCAAGATGGACGTTTTGGTTGCACTTTTAAATACATGCCTCTACCTTGAAGTTTCCCTTTTAAGGCCGATTTCCTGTTCCCCTCTGCAGCCAAACTACCTGGGTAGCAGGTTGATGATAAATGCCCAAGCCTAACCCTCTACCCTCCACTCCACCAAGCGATGTCTCCGGAGTGGAGAGAGAGAGAGAGAGAGAGAGAGAGAGAGAGAGAGAGAGAGAGAGAGAGAGAGAGAGAGAGAGAGAGAAGAGAGAGAGAGAGAGAGAGAGATCTAGTTTCTTCACTGCATTCCTGGGCAGTTGGATTCACAGCAACAGGTTAAAGCTGCCCGCCTTGAGGGTTTGGGATGTCTGTAGCTCAGTGGTAGCGAGCATGTACCCTGGGGTTTAGAAGCCCTGGGTGTGAGCCCGGTACCACATGGAAAATTAAGCTACTGATTTGTACCTCATGTGTTTAGGAACTAGGCCTGGACAGACTTAATGCAGTAAAATTAGTTGGATGGTCCTAAAATCTCGCCACTTGATTGGCCTCCTCAAGTTACTCTTCTAAAGGAACTCTGAAAATTCCATTTCCTTCCAATCCATCTTGGTGTATTTTATAGAGAAGTTAGAAGCCCCAAGTTCTTAGGTGGAGCTGTGGCTTCTGCACTACAATATTTAGAGTCTTGGAGAACAAGATCTTTCCCACCCATCCCCACCCTGATTTTTTTTTTTACTTTAATAAAGTAGTTCCCAGTAATTTGCCATGGTCAGTATTCCAATGCCAATCCCACCACCATAACACCTTCCCACTGCCTTTAGTTATCCTCCCCACCACCCAGGCCTCTTGTGACGTGGAGTAGCCTCAGGCATGGAGAACAAGTTCTTTTGATGGAGTTTTAGTAGATAAAATAGTTCCTCT